CCCCCCCCCCCATCTTTTTTTGTTTGCTATTTCAACTGGCCTGGGGCATAATACATATTTTTTAAAAAAGACTGAAATTATTGTCAACCAAGCTAAAAGCTACTTTCGTTTTTAAGTTAGGAGATTTCTGGTTTGTGTGTTGTTTGTGCAGATATAATTGTGCTTGAAATATTCACCATTTAATTTGCCCCGTCTTAAAAATGAATCCACAGAGACTAGAATAAAACTTAAACAAAACTGCTGATTAAAAGGCTTTGATAAGTAACCCTGAGGGTTACCTGCAGAGCAGGTATAATGTAAGCAATATTATTTCCACCTCCCTGGTAGGGAAAATCTTCATACTGTGCACTTAGTTCTGGCAAATGATTGGTGCTTAATATTTTTACTTAAAATTGTTGCTTGTAACTGAAGTATGTTTGTATGTTTCTTGCCATTAAATTGTTTACATAATTAATTCTTTTAAAGAATCTTGATAAGGAGCATTTTTTTGTATCCACATTGAAGTGATCTTACTACACTAATAATGGTATCAGTTATCCTGCTTGGACACAACAAATGCAATTAAGTTACATTTCTACCTGAGCTACTGAGTCTTGTGGTCTGTGGTTAGCTCCTCTTTATTCATGAAAGACGAATCTGGTATAAAGCTCCCATATTTTGCATCTGTTTTCTTTATTAGAGGGCAGTTTCCTAAGCCATCAAGGAGGTCTTAGTATTGGTAGGAACTCGGGTATATGTCCTGAAGTGGAAGATTTCAGCATGATTGATTACCTCCTTCCCCTACTTGTTTTGAGAGTTCAGTAACTTAAGAAATTGGTCATCCTGTTCTTTAGATGGTTGGTAATAAATACCAACTAGTTTTTATTCTGTTCTGTGTGAGAATGTTGATGCATAAATAAGTTATGTTGGAGTTGTCAGTGTAACAAAACCATGAGATTTTAATGTTGAGGTGCTGTCACCTTTTAAATTCACTTTTTGCGTATTTAGAGCACCTAGTGGTTTACGGTGATGTTAACATCCCAACCCCATAAATCCTCAAACCTCATAAGGTTTCAGTAACACCAGCTGGATTGAGCCTAGACTCATTCAGCCACTGCAGCTTCAATTCCTTGTCATTTATTCTTTCATTTTCATGTGTTAATGTTCTAGCAAATAAAGAATATTCTATTTCTTCTTCTCCTCTGCTGTTTGGATTAATTTTGTTTTTATCTTCTTGGGGTTTTTGCTGAATAAGTACTTTTTTGAGAAAAGCTGAAACACATAGTTTCTAGAAATAAAATTTCCAGCTATAGGTACCAACTGCTAAATGTCAAAAGCCACAAGACATGCAGTCCTTTGCTATAAAATTATTTCATGTTTACAGTGGTGCTTATTAGCCTTTGTGCTGGTTTTGGCTGGGATAGAGTTAATTTTCTTCATAGTAGGTAGTATGGGGCTATGTTTTGGACTTGTGCTAGAAACAGTGTTGATAACACAGGGATGTTTTCATTGTTGCTGAGCAGTGCTTACACAGAATCAAGGCCTTTTCTCCTCCTCACACCACCCCACCAATGAGTAGGCTGGGGGTGCACAAGAAGCTGGGAGGGGACACAGCCGGGACAGCTGACCCCAACTGACCAAATGGGTATTCCACACCATATGACATCACGCTCAGCATATAAAGCTGGGGGAAGAAGGAAGGGGGGACATTCGGAGTGATGGCATTTGTCTTCCCAAGTAACTGTTACGTATGATGGAGCCCTGCTTTCCTAGAGATGGGGTGGCTGAACCCCTGCCTGCCCATGGGAAGGAGTGAATGAATTCCTTGTTTTGCTTTGTTTGCATGTGTGGCTTTTGCTTTACCTATTAAACTGTCTTTATCTCAACCCACGAGTTTTCTCACTTTTACTCTCCTGATTCTCTCCCCCATCCCACTGTGAGGGGAGTGAGCAAGCGGCTATGTGGTGCTTAGTTGCCGGCTGGGGTTAAACCACAACAGCCTTTCAATATGACAGTAATATTTATGTACTCTGCCTACCTAGTCCCATCCAAATATGGATGGACTTTTCCAAACCGTATACATAAAAATTTAAAAACTTCTAACCTTAGCGCCTCCTAAACATGAATATTATACTCCTTCATTGAGTTATAGGTTTTTGTTTCTTATTCCGCTTCATAAAACTTTATAGAGAATGAAAATTGAATCTCTTTGTAGAGATAGTAGCCAAATAAAGAGAGCCCCCCTCCCCTCAGTACTGGTTGATTAAATACCGACAGCAATGCACTGGACCTTTTTATCTTCTTATTTGCACTCTGTCAAGGTCTACAAAGATTTTCAGGACGTTGAGGTGTCTAGAGAAGTAGTGAGGGCCTTAGTGAAATGCCTACATTTTCATCTTGAGTGTGAGACTATTTTCCCCAGTTGATAAGCTGTGTTTGTGGATCCTGTTCCATTCATCAGTTGTTGTACCTCTACTTATTGTAGTAGTAAACAGCCATAATGCAGACGGTTTTGTGGATCTTCGTGCTTTGTGTAATGGGCCCTTATAATGATTTTATAATATAAACAATAATAAATAAAAGCATTTCAGAACAGTGGCTTCATAGCCAAGGAGGGGAGGAACTGGAAATGTATTACATTCATGGATTCATATTGGCAGAGAGGTTTGTGGGAAGCAAACTTTAACTGATTTGACATTCACTGAAGTCTTTCATTGCTTTCTGAGAAAGTTAAAACTGGAAGCCTTGCTCTGACTGACTTTTTACTACAATTTTGTCTTCTAGATTGTGTTTAATGAAGAACTAGGAAGTCCATTTATTATAGCACACAGTGTTTCATTTGTAAAATCTGATATGCATTCAGTAGCTGTGCTGCTGCTTAGGGTAGAAAAAGATGAATTGGACACAAAAGGAAGTGGATTTCATATTACCTTGGAATGGGTTACAATTGCAGCGATAAGCAAAGAGGGTAAGTGTTTTACATTTATATTACTGGTGAGTAATGTTTAAAAAAACAATCATGCTTTTATTCTTTTGTCTTAGAAGTTGATTGTTCCTCAGGTCCTGATATTTCCTTTCCCCAAAACTTCAGCTTGGACTTCACATAGGTAGTTTTTTCTTACATTTTGAGATCAGGTTAAATTCTGACAAACATTTGGAAGACAGGAAGAAGTGGCGGGGCTCACTGAGAGGGCTTTAAACTAGGTTTGAAGGGGGAAGGGGATAAAACCAGGCTCACTAGAGATGAGCCTAGGGGTGGCATGCCGATGCTGGGGGCGAAATCGATAGGCCAGCTCAAGTGCATCTACACCAATGCACGCAGCATGGGCAGCAAACAGGAGGAGCTGGAAGCCATTGTACAGCGGGAGAGATATGACTTAGTTGCCATCACAGAAACCTGGTGGGGTGACTCCCACGATTGGAGTGCTGCAATGGATGGCTATAAACTCTTCAGAAGGGACAGGCGAGGAAGGAGAGGCGG